CCCCCGGGTGGGGTCTTCCTTGGACTCACTCTTAATCACAGCACAACAGCAGTTGCAGGACATGAGGACACAGCACAACCAGAATTAACTCCTATTCTCTACCCCAGGAGAGAGCACCAGGTAGGTCTGGCCCAGTGTGGACAGCTTCCTGCCAAAGGGGACAAAGGCAAGTCATAGTCCCTCAGCAGGTGGACTCCCAGCTCTACCCCTGGGTCTCAGTAAAGGGCAAAGTTCCCCAAAGTGGCGTCCTGTTCTCCCATATTCTCTCAGCTGAGGCAGAAGTCAGATTTTGCCCACACACAACCCCAGTACTGACTCAGTTCCTATTGTGGCAAAACAAATCACAAATGTAGTGACTATAACAGCACATACTTGTTATCTCAGGGTATCTGTGGGTCAGGAGTCCAGGCAGCACTTAGCTGGGCACTCTGCTCCAGGTCTCACAGAGTGGCAGTCAGGGCACTGGCTGGGCTGTGGTCTTTAATCTAGAGGCCCAGTGGAGGACCGGCACACTTGGGATGTCACTTGGGCTGCCAGTAGAATGTTTCCTTGCTCTCAGCTCCTGGAGGCTGGCATCCTGGCCCTATGGCCCCTCTATAGGGCTCTTCCCAACGTGGCTGCTCTGGACAAACACTGCAGAGAACCTCTCTGACGTCAGGGAGGTCCTCAGTCCCTCTGAAAGGGTCCTCTAGTCATGTCAGGTCCAGAATAGTCTCCCTTTGGATCAGTTCAACACCAACCCATTAGGGACCTTAATTACATCAGAGAAATCTTTTTATTTTTATTTTTCCACCTGAGGTAACGGGATTAGGGCAGCGATGGCCTGTCACGAGATAGGTCAGTCCACATTCCAGGGGAGGGATTACACAGGACAGACACCAGGAGTCAGTCTTAGAATTTGTCCTGCCACACTTCCCTCACTCAGAGCTCCCAGAGATGAATTTTGCTCTAATCTGTAATAGAAACATAAAATAGCAAGGCACTAGATTTCTAATTTAAGGTAGGTTTTTAACATGAAGCATGCACATAGGATATGTTTTCCTCCCTTGTTTCAACAGGTAGCTTACCATCTGGCAGAGGGGCATGCAGAATGTCCTAGAACTGAATGCTAACAGTCTCTTCAACCCTATTTGGTTCTATGAGAACAGAAGGAAGCAAATAATTGGCAAGGCTGCTGGACACAGTTGTGAGGGTTGTGTACTGCACAACCAGGGAGTGTTGATGACACTCTCGGGAGTTGTGTGGTTACAACCAAAGTCTCCAGACCTTTCTCAGGGTCTCTGATAGTTGTCTCTTGGCACCAGGAGGGTCTACAATGATAACTCCCTAGTTGAGAGCAAGCTGCTGTGGCACCACCGAATGCAAAGCCATTTGGGAACAACCTTGTTTCTGGAATGTAACCCTTTCAGCCTCAAAGTGGTTGACTGTCCAGACCTCCCAGGTCTTTGACCGCCCACTCTTGAGTTCAGTGTTCCAGAGGGCTTCCCAGCCCTGGAAAATGGTGCCCCTCTGCCTCTTGGTGCTTACCTACCGTACCAGGGTGGCCACCTGCTCAGCTGCCTCTCCCCTGCCTTCCCTGACTCCTCCTTGGGTTCCCAGAGTGGCCTGTCCTTCCCAAAGCCACTACCTTTCGTCACTCTCTATCCTCAGCATCCATCTGTTCTAGACAGCGGGGATGGGTCTCAGTTGGGGCGAGCATGGGGGCCAGCATGTGCAAGGGGTGTGTACTCTGGCTGCCCTGTCCTCCAAGTGGGGCTGCCCTGGCTGCTGTGTGTGCTCAGGAGCAGGCCCTGCCCCCCACAACTCTCCCAGGGCTCTCCCTGGTCTGTGGCCAGTGAGGCATGTCTGCACCTATGGCTGTTTCAGCTGCTGGTCTCCATCCAGCCCAGGCATGGGGAGTGGGAACAAAACCCTTGGAGAGGCAAGAGATGGGGAGCCCACGTTTGGACACAGCAAGTGTGGCGGGCCTGTGGACACTGGCTGGAACTGACCTTTGGCAGCTGGAGCTACCAGTCTCAGTAGCAATCAGGGCTGGAGAGAAAATGGGAGCGGACCCCAAAAGGCCACTGTGCTATGGAGCATCAGCTCAAACCCTAGCTCTGCCCCCTCTTTCCTTGCTTATAAATTAAGGGTAAAGTGTCTTCTCACTAGACCAGAGAAGAAAGAAGATACTTATAAGGGGGAAGTACAATGCATGCACAGGGGACTTGCTCCTCAAGCAGATGCTGGGGCTATTACAGGTCAAGGAGGGCATGTGGAGCCCGTAGCTGGACTGAAGGACTCCCCTTCTCAGCAGCAGCAGCCAGGAAACTTCTCCATGGACCTGAAGGAAAAGTTTGGGGTCATGGAGCTGTTCTGTCTCTGCATGCCAGCTGTGGCTGGCGCTAAAAGAATCCAAACATTTAACAACCAAAACGAGCATCCAGCTCACTAGTGGAACATTACCCTCCAGAAAAGCCTTGAGCTCCACGTGTCTGCGTCTGCCATCCATCTACCTGCCCATCCCACAGCTTTCTTGTTATGAGCACATCTGTCTGTCTCACTCCTTGAGGACAGATAAAATGCTTTTTTCTTTGTATCCTGGCATCTTGCAGGTGTCTGGTACATAAAGGTGAAAGAAAGTCCTGGGTGTGTTTTCCTTTTTAAAGAGGAAAATAGGGGCCTATTGAGCCTGGTTAGGACTCAATCTTACCAGCAGAGGGCACAAGAGCCTTAGCGGATGCAGATGGGGGTGAGCTATCCAATGAGCAAGATTTCCTGGAAACACTTTTAGTAAGTAACACATTTATAATAGATATTTTTCTGTCATATTCTTTCTCTTTGCTTATTCCTTGCAAAATTTGTCACTTGGCAGCTGCAAAGGCCTGCAGAGGCTCAGGGCTTGGGAAACTCCCAGAAAATCAAGGCCATGGCTCCCTGGTCCATCCACATTTCACCAGCTGGAGAGGATTTAGATGGAATTGAAAGATGGGAAGGACTGACCCAGAGGGAGTACACACATTTATAGTGGCCTCTGCCCTCTTGGGGCTGCTGGCCAGGCCATTGGGCTATCAGTAGCCCTCAGAGTCTGTTAGGTCTGCCTTTAAAGGGAGTGAGCACCCTGTCACCTGGGGTGTGCAAGGCACTGGAAACTGGAGTGAACAATCTCTACTCCAGAGACTGTTGTGTTAAGCATCCATCCCAGTGTCTAGGTATATTAGTATCAGGAAGATATTAAATTGTTGAGAATTCAGACATGGGAGTAGGAAATGTACCAGATGATTCATGTTTCTAAGGCCCCAATACTGTGGGGGAAAAAAATTAAATCTAACATTTTTAGATAAGGTAACACTTCCGATATGTAAGTGCATTCATTTATGCAATCAAAAAGAGTAAATCTGCACCAGGAGTTGGCAAACTATGGCCCACTGCCTGTTTTATATGGCTGTGAACTGAGAATGGTTTTTGCATTTTTTAATGTTGAAATAAATCAAAATAAGAACACTATTTCATGATGTGAAAACTACATACAATTCAAGTTATACTGAACATAAGCGAAGTCTGATGGAGACACAGCCACACTCATCATTTACACACTACCTATGGCTGCTCTCACACTGACGGTAGAGTGCAGTTGCTACAAGAGAAATGCTTCGCCTCAGAGCCTGAAATATTTACTTATCTGGCCTTTACAGAAAAAGTTTTGTGACTCTTGATCTAGTCTGTTAAAATTGGCAAGGAGGACTCATCCAGTCCACCCCTATTGTCTTTTCATATGGGGAAACTGAGGCTTGGTCAGGGGAATGGGCTTGCTCAAGGCCAGTAGCAGGCAAGAACCTGAAGCCAGAAGTCCTGGGCTCATTGTGGGGTTCCCTGTGTGCTCTGCATGGCATTTGGGCATTTGTGAGCAGGGCCTCTGAGCCCCTCTGGCACAGTGACACCCAGAAGCAAGTACAAGAAGGTGCAGAAAGCACAGGTGTGGTGGGAGGAGGGGGCAGGAAAGCCCAGCAACTCTGGATGGGGCTCTGGGCTCCTGGCTCTTTCCTCTTGCTCAGGAGGCAGGAGGTCTGGCCTGGAGCCCAGGACCCGGAGGCTGGTCCTGGCTGGCTTGGGACCACAGGGCCGCTGCGGCCTCTCTCCCGTAGACCCCCTCCCCTTATTCTCAGGGAGGAGATGCCAGTGGGAGCACCTCCTTGAACAGGCAATGTGATCTGGCCTCCCACCTGCTCCTGGAAGACACCTTGGAGGAGGTGTAGTGCCCCGCTCACCTGGCTGGGAGGCAGGGCTAGGACCCCTTGCTCACCTGGGGCCTGGCGGGGAGGAGCTCCTGCCCAGTGCACAGGTCACCGCGCCCTCAGAGGTCTCCGCACCTGGCACCTGGGGGGAGGGACGGTAAGTGCGAGGCCCATCCCTTTATTATTTAGGGGCAAGACCACGGCTCGGCCGGCCAGACAGAAAGAAACGGGCGGGGAGAGGCGGGAGCAGAAGGGAAGGAGCGGGAGACGGGCGAGGCAGGCAGAGGAGGGCGAGTTAGTAAAAGAGAAAGAAGGGCAGTGAAGGGAGGGAGAGAGGGAGGGAAGGAGGGAGGGAAGGGGGACGGGAGAGCGAGAAGGAAGGAAAAGAAGGAAGGAAGGAAGAGCTCGCGCCTTTTCACAGGCGTCCGGCCTTTCTGTCCGCCGAGGCGGGTCTCGGTCGGGGCTTCCCGGGTGCGTCGCCCA